CAAATTTTACCAGACGTGGACCGATGTGGATTCGATATAGTTATTTTTGGGAATAAATCACTAACATTTCCTCGTTCTCTGCTCTGTCAAAAGGAGTTACCTAGGCTTTTTTTCACGTAACTGTCTCATTAAAATAAAAATAAAAATATTACATCTAGAACAAGCACCCAAAACACGTAACAAGAGGTCCCAGTTCAGTTGCTTTCACGATACAAGTGTAATACAGCTATTAGATTTGAAGTGTCGTTCAGAATGTAATACTAGTTAATACTAGTTGTATGTTCACACTTCACTATCAAAACCACCATTTCGACCACCCATGTGCCAGTTTTCAGTGTTTGGGCGAGCGGTCAATGTTTTCAATAAGCGAGCGAGCGAGCGGAAAAAAAAAACGCGATTAAAATGCGGTCGGTTTCCGGTCGGACAAGACCGCGTGGTCGGAAATTAAGCGATAAGCGGTCGATGTAAAAGCGGAAGGTTGGGCGAAATGAGTACTGTATGACCATGATTCTCCGACGAAGTCTCGACTGACAATAATGCTGACAATGGACGTTAGATAAACACGCATTGTTTGCAACTGGAAGCTTATCACCCGTTATATCAGAATCGTCAACAACAGAGTATACAGATAAGATTTTATCATTTAATTCCTTCCAAAGATAAACACTATGCAAATATCCACGAAACGGCAGTTGTAGTCTTTTCTGCTAGTGTTTTAAAACACTAATTTGAGCAACGTTATTTCGCAATTTCGATTTTTTGTAAACCTGGGGTGATGTATCAAGGTCTAAAGTAACCGTTTTATCAATTTTTGAAAAATCAAGAAAAAAGTGAAAATTTCCCTTCTCGCTACCTTAATAACAAAAGTAATAAAAAATAAAATTAAAATAAGTTTATAGCCAAAATAACTAAAGCCCGTACACTACATCAGATTTTAATCAGATTGGTAATTGTTATGTGATTGAAAGTTATCGAAGGATTCACCGGCGGTATTCAGTGCAAGTCGCGCCCAGGTCAAACCTCATACTTGTGATTTCCATTTGAAGAGCGCATTGGATTGTGGGAAAATCCATGTTTATCAACACAAATGTCGCACATGCGCAGCGCGACGATCACCGCGCTTTAAAGTACGTAGTGATTTAGTGGTCATGAAATTCCATTGAGGGCGTCACTCGCGTGCACTTCAATATAAGGACGAGTATGTAGGGAGCTCAGGTACACTGTAACCTTGTTATAACGACTGTAACTTTGTTATACCAAACACTTTTCTGTTATAGTGATTGTTTACTACAGTGCAGAACATATTGCATTGGGTATGTTATGGGTTGGAGACATGATATGTATTCCTTATATCAGGACATTCAATATGAAAGTGTTCATTATATTGAGGTTACAGTATATAACTACTTACTAGGTATAATCTTGTTGAACGTAAATTACAAAAATGTATTGCACTCTTAAAGATACATTCTGAATGGGGATAAAAATACTAGTGTCTTCGAGAGATTTGTTATATTCAAAGAGATTATACCATACACTGTATACATTGGGTCGGAACGTTCATATAAAAATAAAAACTATTTATGCAACTGTGAACAGATAACTTGGCATGATTCAATTGATAATACATTGTTTTAGTTCACATATATCATTGTATGTTCAGTTGTAGGCATGGCAATGTTGATGGAGCAGGAGAACACAGCTGAAGTTACTCAGGACGCAGTTCTCTTCGACAGGCAGGATTCAACTACAGCGCCGCCATTGTCAGTATTATCATACGGCCAGGAGCAGATATGTGGCTCCAGCACACCGCCGCAAATACCATCAATGCCATCAGTACGATCGTTACACCACTCATCGACTCTCCGTAACAATGTTGCAATGCTAAATGACAGTAGAATGATAGCATTTCAAAGCAAATTAAGTTTTCGTCTTGGAGGGTGTCAAATTGCGGTAGGGTTAGTCAGTATTATAATAGGTTGCTGGGCTATTATGCTTCAGAGCTATGGAAGTGAAATCGGAATTGCAATATGGACTGGTGTCATTGTGAGTAAAACCGTACAAATACCCGTATTTAAGAGTCGACTAATATCAAGCAAATTGCATCCGTAAGAATTCTTCGAGCTTGCCATTGAAATAAATGTTGTTCGACTTGTAGTGTTTATTGTTACAACTTGTAGATTTATGTGAAAATTGACAGAAATCACAATCATAACAACGTTGGAACGCCAGACATGTTAGGTATAAACGATTCCGATACTTTCGGTTGATGGTTGTCTTGTGACATGCGCACCACCAGAGAAGATAATACGTCACGTGATCTACTTAATGTTTATCTGCATGTTCTTTTTTCCAGTACATCATTTCCGGGGTGTCGGCGTGCATATCTGGAAAAAGGAAAACAGTTCCATGGGTAATATATTCTATTTTTTATTTTGCAAACAATTTTCGTTGACAATCCCCATTCGAACTAAGTTCGCACAAATGTAGTATGTTGTGGGTATGTCTGTGTTATTATTGGACCACGTTATGGTTTACAAGAACGCGTCATGGGATACCGAAACACGTCATGGGATACCAGAAGACGTAATTTTTATATTCCATTAACAAATGCATCTAGTGACCTTTATAACTTTAAAACAAGTTGAATTCTCATTTTGTAATAAATTATATCGTAATTCCAAATTTCAGTCACGATGCACTGTGGGATAGTTTTTTTTTCAGTTGGGAACGCAACTTTAAACAATTTCTAGGAATGTCACGAATCTATTTATGTTGGAATGGTCAGTTACTGTTGTCACTGTATAATACTGATGAGTTATTATTTAAACTTTCAGGTAAAATTCGCCATGGTGTGGGGTTTTATTTCAGTAGGTGTATCTATTCTGCCGATAACGATGGGAGCTGTCGGAATATCTCAAGAAGGATACCTACACCCAGATTACTGTCTCGAGTACCCGGATGCTGACTATCCTTGTTCTTCTATTGTAATTATCTGTTTTTTTTTCTCTAAACGTAAATATTGTTATCTGTCGAAGTTACATCTGCCATTCAATTGGTTGTTGGTGTTTCCAGGTGCTCGAACAGTATACACAACCTGACCAGGGGCGTGACATGCGCCGAACATAATTATGGTTGCACAGATTACCCAACGAATGTGAAAATATTGAGTTAAGTTGTACATGGTTTCAATAGAAAACCATTAGAAAACGTAGCACAATACGACATATAAGGTGATATACGCTCAGCCCGTGCTGAATATACGCATTATTCGACCATGTTTTCATGCTCGGCCAATGACGCTATCAGGGGGTAATTCTTTTCTCTCGGGGTTTTCCACACTTGCCGGGGGGGGGGGGGTCTCGTCTCGTCTCTCTATCGCGTCCCCTTGAGGTACGGGATCGGGAAAGTCACTTATACTTTACAGTCAAATAAGACGCACACAACGAAATACGTTTCAGCTCTCGTCTTAGTCGGTCAATCGAGAACTCTATAAGACACAGCGCCCTGGGGAAAAATCCCCAAGACTATCGCAAGGCTGACCCAAGACTCTCTTAGACTGCGTCAACACTCGCCCCAAGGCTCTCCAGGACTGGACTCGACTCTCCAGGACTCGTCTTTCGAGGAGTACTTGCCAAGACCAACTCAAACTCTCTTTATTCACTTTCAAAACTCTAACCAATTACAAAACAGTAAAGAGACTCTAGGGCGTAACCTTCAATCATAAAGCCAATCACACTAAGTACTGAATACGTCATATCTTTTGATTAATCGTTCACTACATTAATAACTATGAATATAAACTGTCAGAATGAGTAGTCTGAATAGCGGCGGTTATCTGGTAATTAGTTCCAAATCACTGAGCCAAGTTCCGTCCAAAACTTCAAATAGACCTAAACGATGACAGACATAACACAGCAATTCGCTAATAATCAGCTAATTAAGTCGGTCAACAGATACGCAAAAACTAATTCATGACAATGCTCTGAATCTCGTGGACACAGTCGAGAAGAAGTAACTTTGTGACGTATGTTACGGTAAAATGAACGTTTTTCTTTCAGACATCCCGCATGGTAGTGGACGTTTTGATAATGGCCGTTGGCGTTATCCAAATAGGGTTAGCCATGCCTACCACGGCTATACAGTGTTTTGTTGTGTGTACGTGTTGTAAGCCTTCATACATAGAACTGAACACACCTACGGACTCAGAGGCAGTGGTGAGTACTTTCGGTGACAAACCGATAACTTCTGGTGGCGAGTGAACGTTGATATGAAAGCATGATAATGAAATTGTCATTTTGTAACACAATTCATCACCAGAACAATAATTGATCAGATGTGTACAAACTATTAATATGAAACCTGGTATTCATTGAATTTCTTTATCCGTCTTATAACCACATTTAATTTATTTACTATATATACCTGCACAAAACTGTAAGAAAGATGAGATGACCATATTGTCCGTGGTTTCAAGGTTTTGTGAACTAAACCACACTGTAAAGGCCCAGGAATCGTATTATCTGTATTAATGATAAACCCACAAAAATAACCACGAATCTTTCATATTGTGTATTTTACCAGCTCGCCACAGTAAGTGGAGATGTACACGATCGTGATCAGCCTGTTTTTGACCAAAACCGGCCGCCAATGTTAGTATTGCCACCAAGTTACATATCGCTGGTTTCCAATAGCGACGATAGGCTGATATTGCTTCCAGCAGGTGAGACGGCGTTCCTCCCACGTACGCGTATATGTAAGACAGACCATTACGGTAGATGTTATAATCAACCCCACCATCCGTTTATTCATCCTCGTTCGCAATAAATGATTGATTCGAAATGTTGCGACATTCAGAAAAATGTTTTATCTCTTTGTGCGTTTGTGTGTTTGTGCGAAAACCTTCTCTACAAATCATAATTTTATCAAATTCGGAATTGACAAGATTTATCCTAAAATGCATGACTAACCTGGCAGATAAATGGATACAGTAGATGAATGGTCGTCCTGGCTTGTCATCTGCTAAATCTTGTGCGCTCCGCAATTGAATTAACACACAACTTTGATTTATTTCAGTTTTGTCATGTATACGTGATACGGACGAAGGTGGTAGCAGGGGGTCACGCAGGGTGGACAGACAGAGGCTTTCCACGATTTCTCAATTGACTCCCGGGGAGTTATCCCAAACGTCGCATGAGGGCGCTTCACAAACTACTGAATCGCGTCTTCCACATGGCCTCGAAAGAATATTGCAACGAGTGCAGCAACGGGACTGTATCGAAGATAGTGTGAATAACAACAATGGCGAGATAAGTTTGGCTGCAAGCCGTGCGATTGATGTTGACTCATGCCCTGAAGTAACGTCTCGTGGACAATTTACTAGTCCGTCATTGGACGGCCACATAGACGGCCATGATGCGGAGGTAATCGTCATCAATGCCCAAGTTCCCTCTATAAGAAAAGAGACAAGCTTCACGATACTACGTACGCCGTCTCCGGGCATACCACCCCCGTCATATGAAGACAATCGCGACAACAACGCAGTTGGAATACAGTTGAACGAACACACGTCACCGTCTGTGCCTACGTCGTGTTACGAGACACCGGAAGCTGTGAGCAACGACACAAACGATCGGAATAATCGATCGCTTACACCGCCACCTTCGTACGAGGACGCTATGGCGGGGAATAGAGACACGGAATATGTGCCGACTTTGAATACGAGGCTGTCAGCTTCTTTATTGGACGAGCAGGAACTTGAGTAAATGTCTTGAACATGAAAAGTGCATTTATTCTGGGAATAAGATAAATCGTATCTGGTTCTACTAATTAATCACCAAATATCATTTACATATTCGTGACATAGTGTATAAATACACACGTGCATGTATGGTGCAATGTGTGCGTGTACTGAGATGTTTTACTTAGTTACCATCCGGTATAAGTTTCAAACAATTGTTCCACAGTGTTTACCATGAATGTGATATTCATTTTTAGTGTTTTGTTTCACACAGACTTTTGATTGACACCGCGAATTTTCATTACATTCGCCTTCGTAAGGCGCTAAAGTAAATGTTGGCTACCCAACCTTGAACATAGACGTTTCACATTTACCACGAGGGTTATATGGGTGGATTTTTACCTCCGCAATGTGCACGATAAATAGACACGCGAGTTGCGCCCTCTGTCAATATATGTACTGTTAATCACAATGTGACTATCGACAGAGGGCGCAACATTCAATTTACTGTTCCCGATTTTAATCTTTGGGTACCTCTTCTCAGTTGAGGCACGGTTACGAGTAACCGTGGTTGAGCGAAACCCGTCAACGAACAAGATGCTCCTTGATTGATCTGACTGTTAGGTGTTAAGTCCATTTATCATGAAAACAAACAAAAACACAAAACTAAGAGAAGGAAAAACAAATATTCTTTCATCGCTCCCGGAATTTCTAATCGTGCACTCGACATCCGGGAATGTTAAAAACGTGTGCTCTGTGACACACTATACAAGGCGGATTATTACTATATGTGATATGCTTCTGATTATATTGGACTTAGAGGGGGGGAGACGTCACCTGCGCATGCGTTAGATGGATATAGCGTGTCAGTGTTTACTAACAAGCGTCTACCCATGAGCCTTTGCGTTTTTAGCGTGTGTTATCGTCGACTCGGATTGGGACTCAATTCCCGCGCACGCGCAGGTGACAACCCTCCCGCTTTAAAGTGACTTTTTTAAATTACTGCTATTATACCCAAGAGAATAATACTACCTAATTTTATTTTCAGTTATATCTGCACCATGTTACATTATTTGTTGTAAGAAATTCAAATTCTTGATTTACAGACTATGTTTTTCCGACGATATCTGTATTTGATAGACTAGTATAATTTTCGCGATAACGTCAAATAGAATGCCTTACATGAACAAAAGAACAATATTAATAGAATAGGCTATATTTAGATTGGTACAAACAGGTACTATT